CTGAACAACAGGTGCTCCGTGACAATTTCGTGCAACAAGGAGCAGGAAATCTGCGGGGCATGACTGCTGAGTTCTGTAATTGTGACGCGACGATTCTCCATAATGTGTTCCCACACAAGCTCCACCAGGTCGTCTGTAATGATGGATGGCCGCCCACTGCGCTTCTCATCATGCACACTTTGTTGACCCGCTGAAAATTGTCTGCACCAGCAATGCACCATCTGCTTGCTCATGACGTTAGGCCCATAGACCCAGCACAGCTGACGATGAATTTCAATCAGCGCTATGCTCTGTGCATTAAAAAACTTTATCACTAACCGCACTTCACAGTCAGCAGGAGCTGGAATAAGAGCCTCTATCTTCAACAGCTGCAACAATGCTACTGTGGGAATGCGGGAAATTCTGTTAGTGCATGCACCATGCTACATCATTGCTCTATCACGTATGCGCAGTCCCTTTGCGCAATATAAGGTTTGCTAGCTGTGGGACGAGTGGGAAACTTACTATGTGGACGTGCTACGTACTTCAGTATGCATGCTGAAGTGTTGCAGGCTTTGGGTAGTGCTGGAAGTGTTCTTCCACCATAGCCACTGACTGCAGCACATACTCTTCAAGTTCCCAAAACTAGTAGCAAACATTCATATTAGCTACCTCTTCTAATAATAATTATTATTTTACACAGGTTCAAATGTAACATTGGAGTGCAGTAGTGTGGGAAACCCCCCACCTCAAGTAACATGGCACAAATCTGGTGGCACAATACCCCCAAATAGGACAGAGCTGCTGCCTGGAGGACTCCATCTTAGCCATGTTAGGAAAGGAGATGACGGAATGTACATATGTGAAATGAGCAATGGAGTGGGGCAGCCTGTCAGACATTCAACCATGTTGTATATACAGGGTAAGCAGAACTCATCTATAGAACATTGCAGGTCGTCAGTTCATACATATTCGTCAACTCTGTCCCATCTTTTCATGGTCCCTGTTCTTGTTCCATCCATTTTCTTTCTCTGTACCCTTTCACCTGATTATTATTGGTCAGGCAATAGGTTGTCTTCATTTAAGTTCCATATTTAATAAAGATGCCCTTGGTATGCTGTCACTCACATATGCCTAACATTGTCAGACAATACCAATATTTATTTCTATATTACACTGCCAAAAATATTTCTTACCCTCACTCTTCCTGTTTTATTATTGCAGGTACAGTAACAATTACAGCACCCTATCATTAGAAGTCATTGTAATGACTGTCAAACTCCATGAAGCAGAGTCTTTTTTCAGAAGCAATTAGGAGCTTAGCTGGCCAAGAAATTACCCATTTTTTATGGAGTTCAAAGGTTCATTACCATGTTCTCAAGAGCCTGCCACTGGTCCCTACATGATGCAGATCAATCCAATATCCATTTTAATATTATCTTCTCATATATGCCTCTGTCTTCTCTTCAGGTTTTATGATTTAAAATTTTGTATGCATTTCTCGTATCTCCTGTACTTGTTCAAGTCCTGACCGTCTCATCATCAGTTTGATTGCCTTAATAACATGCAGTAAAGAGTTAATATTATGGAGCTATATAATACACAGTTTTCTCCAGTTTTGTTATATCAGCAGTACATACATACATACATACATACATATACATTTGCGTTTCAGATTATTCACAAATGTGCACAGGCACAGAATATAAAACATGTCAACAAGCCAACAAGACATTGGAAGCATGTACATTCACAAACAAAATCACTAGCATATATAATCCATACTTGTCAAAAAAAANTATATGCCTCTGTCTTCTCTTCAGATTTTATGATTTAAAATTTTGTATGCATTTCTCGTATCTCCTGTACTTGTTCAAGTCCTGTCCGTCTCATCATATATAATACACAGTTTTCTCCAGTTTTGTTATATCAGCAGTACGGATGTTACAGAGCCACCAGTGATAGTGAGGGAATCCAGAAATCAGATAGTGAAAGAAGGTGGAGACATACAGCTGGACTGTGTGGTTAAGGGCTCACCTGCACCTAGAATCACGTGGCTGCTGAATGGAGAGCCAATTACTAATGACAGCCATGTTGAAACTGCAGGTAAGCAGGAAGTCATAACTAGCTGTCCATTTCACATAATGGAATAAGTATAAATTATAAGAAAATCTATGTCTGCTGCCTCTTGTCAACCTAATAGTCTTTAGGGTGATAAAAAATAAAATAATGGGATTTTAATAGTGCTGGAGGTGGCATGAGGAGTTGTAACTAATGAAGTGGATTGTGAGAAACTAGTTATTATATGTAGGGAGGCACTTGGGGGTAACAAATGTCATCATGACATTTTTATTGCAGTGAAGGAAGCCAATTCATGACACATTCTTAATGCTGTAAAATCTTCATGGTGTGTGGCATGATATTGTAACACCTTTCTTAATGGTATATGGGTAGCCAGATCTGTTTAACTGGCACTGTTTTATTTTTCTGATTGAGCCACTTTAACACATTGTTCATCCTTGTTTAATTTTGAGTCTCGTAGCACAGGCAGTATGGCAGTGGGCTAGGTGCTGTATGGCTGGGGTTTGATTCCCAGTAAGGGCAAGAGAGTATTCTGTGCTCCATAGTGTCCAGATAGGCTCTGTGGCCCACCCAGCCTCCTAAAAGACTATTAGTGTGATATAAAGATTTCCAGGTTTTGGAGATAGGCAGTGGACATGAGTTTTCATATAATTTCCACTTGTTCCACTATGTGAAATGATTCCATCAACTTTCTGTAAAGAATGACGTGTTGGATCTATTGATACTGGATTATTATTTGTTTGCAGGTGGAAAACTGAATATCACCCAAGTGGAAAAGCGGCATGCAGGAATTTACCAGTGCTTTGCTACCAATGACCTGGGCTCGGTGTATGGATCTCTTATGTTGCAGGTGTTACCGAAGCAAGTGACAGCCCTGCCAACAAGTGATCTACCAGAATCAGAGGACACAGAACTGGAAGGTATGCTGTACTGCCAAATCCAGTGCTATGTGGTCCAAGAGTTGAATAGTATCTGTCTTCTGCTGGCAGGACATGTATACTTTCCCAAATTTATTTCTGACTTCTCTATAAGGTCTAAAAGTTTGTGACGATGGTACATTACTGCAAATATTGTTTGTCTGGACATTATCCATTGTCCTGTTTTAGATGCAAGCAAGACAATGGGTAATGTCCAGAAACATAATTTTTGTTCTCTTTAAGGTTTTATATGTCATAATGTTTGGTGTGAGCCATGTTGTGTTGCCAGCATGTGTGTGTTCGAAGTAGGAGCATTCTAGCAGAGGGAGAGACATTCGTGTCTGTAACCTAAATAGTTGAACTTGTTAAGTATGTACTGTCACATGTCCAGAGTTCCCTGACAGATAATTGTGGATTCTTTGTTTTGATCGTTGGGTTTATTGGACGTTACTAACACATTTACACTCAGTTACAATAATTCATACATTCAACACATTTCTGGGTACTGAATCCTTCACTGTTGTCTGCAGCTTACACCTCGTCTTCTGGACTCTCCTCTCACTTCTATTCTGTGCCTTCAATTCTGAACTCTGAACTTTACTTTTGAACTCTTCTTAAATTCTGACTTCAGAACTCTCCTCTCACTTCTGTACCCTGTCTGACTTCTGTCCTTCATCTCTCTTCTGTGTACAGTTCTAACCTCTTTCATAACTTCTCAACTTACCAACTAGGGAACACCAAATTGAACAGTTAATCCCTCCATTATCTTGAAAAAATTCCTTCTGTTGCTGTGAGAATAAACATTTACCTGGCCGTTGTGTTGAAAACATCACCTCTATTGAGCAGGAAACATGGCTACCAGGTCGTTGTCTAGCAATGGATGCCTGCTCTGACTCTGATATTCCTGCTTTTAGGCAGCACACCACAGTATGAATTAAATATGCATGAGATGGATTAATTTAGTGATTCTCAAGAGTGGCAGCATGTGGGCACCAATAATTTCTCATGCAATCACCAGTCTTTTTCAGGGCTAATATATAAGATAGTTATTGAAAATATTTTCCCTTTCTTTATACAAATTTCCTTTGTACCTTCTATAAATTTACTGTCCCTGTTTATGTTGGCATTTTGGGTATATTCTACATGCCACAACCCTTCACCTTAATCTGTACCACAACAAACTGATGGACAGGAATCTTGAAGTGGTCCTTCAGTCAGCTGAGGAGAAATGTCCATTCAGCATGTCTCAGTTTAGTAAGCCACTACTAATTAATGTAATCATATTTTATCTATGCACTGCATTAAATTTTAAATTATTAACAGTCAACTGTACAGATTTGTTTTATATATAAAAACTTGTATATTTTAAGTTATTTGACTGTAGTATACTCGTATGTTTTTAACTTTTACGTCTGGCCATGGACATTTTTTCTCAACAGCCAGTGGATTGATCAAACATATCGTGATACTGATACACATTTTTAACCTAGAGGAACAGCTGATGGTTCCTCATCATCATTGTTGCTGGTTGTATTCTGTGTTGCTATCTTGTGTATTGATAATTAATGGCTCCAGTATTTTGTCTCATCTGATTTCTTTTGAATAATCCTCCCGTAAATTTCTTGCATGCTGTACACAGGCGGTACAGATATTTTGTGTCACCTGCCCTCTGCTTTCACCAGTTCTTCCATTGTAAATGTTTTGTTTTCCTTTGTTACTTCAGGTTTCACTTCAGCCCACACAACCTTCAGCTGTTAAGTCTTGGCACTTTGCAAAATCAGTTTGTTTCATACCAAACAGATTGGGTTAAGTGGTGGTGCTTCTAACTCCTGTTTGAGAGGCAACAGTTCAGATCCTAGCCAGGACACTCTTTGTGGATTTCTGATTCCCTCCAGTCAAATTCCAACATAGTATCAGTATTCACTTCCTTTCACTTCTCCTCTTCATTCATCCACACTTTGGCACTGTTCATAGTCTGAAAAGTTTATGTAATTTGAATAAGGTATTTGGTATGTCATCTTATGCAATTTAACTTATAGTGACATGCTTTCAGAGCTTCCAGATAGTGGAGCAGGTTTCGCCACTGCAGTTCCAACGTCAGGTTTCAGAGGGCATGGTAGAAAAGATCATACTCGCAAAGGCAAGGGACGAAGAAAGGACCGTAAACATAAAGGAAATGGTAATATTTCAAGATAAATAATTATTCATTTCATACAGATCTCAAAAACAAGTACAAAATTTATAGTGTACATGTTTCTTGAGACACATCAGAGAAGATATTAGCAAATGCTTTTTGCTTCACATATAATAATGAAAGAAAAATAGGTTTCAAATTAGCATTATAAGTTTGTTTCCATATTTCCCATAGAAGAAATCACCATTTTGATTACTATCTACTTATCTGTAATGATACACAATTATTTCAGTGCAGTGAACTCTTTGATTATCTTTGGTAGTGGAGCAGAGAAATGGCATGGACAGTTATGCACAACGGATAATTAAAACAACTCAAAATACCCACTATCCATGCTGTATTCAACCCTGAAAGTCAGTTTATTATTATTTTGAAATAATCGTTTAACTTATATTTTTCTGGCTGCTTTGCTGTGTTCTAGAACTAAACTACACTTCACATGGGTTCTACAAGGCCTGCAGTTAATTTGCTTAATCCACTCATGTATAATCAAACATAAGCTCTGTAAACTGATACTGTGTTGGTCTTTGATGCCATGTTCTGAAATATAAATATGGTAAAGATATTTCAGTATGGATCTCTACTGTTCTCAGCTATTGTAATATTTTTGTAATTATTTGTAATGGTACAAATATTTTTTTTGTACGGATAACTGTATTTTGGTTGGTAGGTGCAGGATCAAGCCCAAGACCTTGTGATTGTTAACTTGGGATTGACATTTATCACTTGATTTTATATGAGATATACATATTGTGACATGAAGCCTGAAAGCCAGAGTGGTCCTTTGCTACAAAATTAACACACGTTCTCATGGCAACTGGTAGACGTGGAATAGTCCATTGCTAGACAGTGGTTCACTAAAGCGCATATCTGTGACAACAAATAAGCATGCAATAATACACAGACTGTTAGAGAGGGTGAACTATATTTGGTTCACCTTAAAATCATAAAAGGGGGATACATAATTTATTTGAGAGTTACCCATGTAGAGGTGAGGTTGAATACCTCCACCATGACCCTATGAGTCGTGGGAGGTGACGAAAAGGGAAGTCTCAAATCTGAGAGAGTAAAATATGGTCATAAGTCCCAAAGGACTCTGGCCCAAGAAAGACTGCACTGGCAAGGGCTAGCAGTATATACAAAAGACAGACCCGTCCTCTTGTCAGAGAGGGTGCCCCA